AATGCAGTTTCTCATCAATTCTAACTCAGCATCAACTAAAACATAATGTATCCACAACACAGGCATCATCTCAACTACACGATTCATATTGTTAACCTGTTATAAGAACAAAACTCCTTCATGCTGTGCATGTGGTAACTTTGAGTTTGAGCTTTAGCTTAGAGTAGGTACTATCCAGTGGGGTGTGAAAGTTTTGGCAGCATAATTAATCATCTTGAGTTATCTTTATAAATCTATGGTTGTTATGAAAAAAAATTACATTGGTTATATATATCATATAGGAGGCAGTCATATTTAAGATATTAAGTGAGGTTTATAGGATTAACAGAAAGCATGCAGTAACTTTTTAAACTAAATTAGGCAGCTACAGTAATGTTGGCACTGTTGTCATTTTGTATATTACAGAATCTTTAGAAATAATTAGTGAAGTTCAGCATTGGTTTGGTAAGTTCAGTGACCCTTGACCTCCATACACAAGTGAATCTAGTTATGAGAGAGTATTTAAGGGGCCAATTGTAAGTTTCCCTCCTCTGAATATTGTCTGAAGAGCAGCAACATGGGGTTTCTAAACAACTCACATGACCTGAAAACAGATTGTTCACCATCATGGTTTAGGGGAAGGATACAGAAAGCTGTCTCAGAGATTCCAGCTGTTTCTTTCTACAGTCAAGAACATATTGAGGAAATGGAAGACCACAGGCACAGTTAAAGTGACAGACCAAGAAAAATCTCAGATAAACAGAAGAGAAGAAGGGTGAGAACAGTCAGAGTCAACCCACAGAACAGCACCAAATACCTACAACATCATCTTGCTGCAGATGGAGTTTGCATCGTTCAACTCTTTGGTACAGTTTACACAAGGAGATGCTGTATGTGAGAGTGATGCAGAGGAAGCCTTTTGTCCACCCACAGCACAAATGGCTGCATCGGGTATGCTTAAGCACATTTGGACAATTCAGCTCTGTACTGATGGAACAAATATTGAGGTATTTGGGCATGACAAGGGGCGTTATACATGGAAGAAAAAAAATCTTAGCATTACACGAAAAACACATGATACCTCCAGTAAAATATGATCATTTGATTCTCAATAGAAACATAATCAAGACTGCTAATCCCTCCACAAAACAGTGACATCTCTTTCTGTTTCCCATGGAAAATTTTATTTGGAGCTTTTCATCTAGCCTATAGGGTGCATTGTTTGAGGTAAGTCACATAATATGGTTAGATATGCCTATCAAGGTTTACATGACATAACAAGCTCACACAGAGTTCCACTCAAACACATTTCAGATCTGTAGCCCTCTGCCCAGCTGAACAATGGCCAAAAATGAAACACTTGACCTACAATGATAAGGACCGTAGCTTCAGCTCTGGGTAAATTACAGACATTGGACCACCATCTCAGGACAGTCCTTCCAGAGCACTAATATATATGTATGAATGACATATGTTAAAATGCCAAAAAAATACTTCAGCAAGCAGATGTCTGAAAATCAAACGAAGTCGAGGGAATCCAATTTTTTGTCCTGAAAATGTGAACTTCTGAACTGCTAAGCGTACAGGTTTGCTTGAGGGCTCTGTGGAAAGGTCTCGCTGAGCGGAGCACTACAGTCTAAATATTGTCTCTACGATTTTACATTGTATGGCTGGAGTGCGCTAAAAACCTTTTTTTGCAACTTGTTCAGCCCCATAACTCTGCCCCTGAAAGGCGTGCAGGGATGATACATCAATAGAAAGCTGTCACTAAGATGTATAATATATGTGAGCCTCCTGTAGGTAGTGTTCTTACTTAGCTATGAACTCAATTTTCTTTTCTTTTTTTTCAGTTGCTAGAAAAAAAATCCAAAAGTGCCCAAAATAGGCAGATACAATTGTGTGTCAGCACTGTGCTGTAGGGTAGGAGTTAGTTTTGATGACAGTATCAAGTGGCCTATCTAGCTTGAGCGAGTTGTTGTTTTCCAGGTGCACATTGGTATACATAATTTCAGTTGTTAATGTGATTGGCTAAAGACAATTTACTAGCCCAATCAGTGTATTAGTCATTTTTTTGTTCTGTGGGAGGAAGCCAGAGCACCTGGAGGGAACCCACACTTGCATTGAGAGCCAAATTTTACTGTTCCAAATTTTGTCCTTGATTTGTTTTTGCCCATTTTGTTTGACTGTGGAATCCCCTCAGATATTCTGAAAGCTCTACAGGGTTCTTCAGGGAGTATATTTTATAGTTAAATGTTTCTTTTGGCAGAGCGCATTTTCCCTCAGCCATCTTCCAAACTAGGGACCTTTCCATCCACATGAATCTAAAAGCAGTTTTTAAAGTCATATAAAGGTGTGGCAAAGATGTTTAGTTTACAGTGTTTGGTAATTAAACTGGGGGCTTTGCCACTCCAACATTTAGTAGCTCACACAATCATAATGCATTTGCCATAATCTTTTCTAAAGCCCTTTCACACTAATAGTATTATTTGAAATATCCACAATTAAAAATTGGAAATGAAAAAACACAAGTAGAAATTATATAAATGTTTATTGCAGAACATCTTATTTAGCAGGCATTGTGTTATAGTGCAACTTCATTTTAAATGTACAGTATTGTTCAAAACAAACGCAATGTGACTAAAAAAATTAAGCCAAAAAATCAAAATCATAGTTTTATTTACATTTTTCTTTCCGATTACAGAATGACAGTCCATGTTATATCATTAATCCCAGCATTAAGTTACATAAAATGGAAGAGAAGCTAAAATGTAAGCTGTACATAAATTTTTTTTTGTGTTTCTGCACGTGTCATTACAAACTGAAATTAGTACTGTATAACCACATTTCTCAATGTGAATTTGCTTTCTCGTGAATCTGCAGGTTTAAGGGAGCCAAATTTAAGACTTTTTAAGACCTTTTTAAGGACCCGCGAATACCCTGTATCAGCTAAAAACACTTTCAGAGAAACGCTTCACATTTGCGTAACATTGTCGGCCAACTTCTGGGTGCAATACAAGTAGGCTGTGCTTTTATAACATACGCATTTTGCGATCTCATAACATATCATCAGACATGTCAGAGTCACTGTCAGAGTTGTCTGAAAAGCTTTGGAGGATATTGCTCGTCTCTGCTTGACTGAAAACTTTTAAGTAGCAGCTCCTTGCATGTGCCACAGCTTTTCTGGTGTTCTGCCTTTTCCTAAGAAGTAGGCTTTGAAGACCTTTTAACACCTCAACTGGTAGGCCCCACAGTGAAGTAGCAGTACCTGGCAAAAAAAAAGCATATTAGTAACCCTGTCATCAGTAATACCCATTTTCAGATTGGACTTAAGAACATACTTTTGAGAGCAGCATTTGAAACTTCCTCAGAAAGCTCCTTCAGGGAATCCATTTGATGCAGAAGGTACTTCCAGTGTTGGTTCATCTCTGCCATGAGAATCTTCTTCTCCTCTTGCAGTCTTTTCACTGCCATGACAAGGTCAAAGGCTCTTCTTTTTGTCCTGAGATCTACAGAGCCTGCATTCAGTTAAAAGATACAAATCAAAATTAGGAACAAAAAAAAACTGAACTGAAATGGGTTTGTGCAATCAAGCCATTAGGGTTCAAACAATCTGTACAAGCCATGGCTAACTTTACAACATGCTCCTTGAAAATAGATTACCAACAGTTTTGTAAAGGAAGGTTTAAGGCATATCACCCAGTACTATTATTTGAAATCACTGGAAAAATATAGTTAAACAATATGGCACTCCTTAGCCTAACTGACTAGCAAACCTTTACGACCTGAAATCCTCTTTAAATCTAATTTAAAACCTCAGAAAAAATGTATATATAGGATTTTGAATAAAGAAATGTTGGACCTCAGAAAAGTATTATACATATGTACTCAGTACTTGTCTGGGGCACCACTTGCATGACTTACTGACTCAAAGCAGCGTGGCATGAATGCTATCAGCCTGTATTATTGCTGAGGTGTTATGGAGGACCAAGACGCATTTATAACAGCCTTCAGTTGTTCTGAATCATTGACTCTCATTTTTCTCTTAGGGCTAACCCATAGATTCTCTAAGGTCAAGTTAAAGTCCCATTAGTTGTCACACACACTGATGTGTGTGCGAAATTTGTTCTCTGCATTTGACACATCCCCTGGGAGAGCGGTGAGCTGCAGACACAGCCACGCTCAGGAACTATTTGGTGGTTTAACCCCCCAATCAAACCCCTTAATGCTGAGTGTGAAGCTGGGAGGCGTTGGGGTACAGGTCACGCTACTTTGCTGGACAATGAAGTCAGCATCTCCATAAAGGTCTGCAAAAGGAAGAATGAAGTGCTCCAAAATTTTCTGGTGGAAGACTGCATTGACTTTGGACTTAAATCACAATGGACAAACACCAGCAGATGACATGGTTCCCAAAATCCCTCAGCACTTCAAGCATCTGCAATTCTTCCAGACTCAGGGAACTTGTCTTCCAAATGAGATGCTAAATTGTCTCATCAGAAAGTAGGATTTTGGAACACTGTTGACATTGTTGTTCAGGAGCAACTTAACAAAAGGAATAGAACATTTGAGGCACATGTCCAGCATTTGTCTGTGTGTGGTGGCTCTTGATGCACTAACTCTAGCCTCAGTCCAGTTCTTGTGAAGGTCCTCATCAACTTTCCAATGGCCTTTCCAGACAACTCTCTCCAGGGTTTCAATGTATCTGCTTTGATTCATAACTGGCATAAAATCAAAATGAATTTGCAATGAACTTTGGAGGCTTTCACTACTTATGCAGGGATTCAATGATTATTTTCTTCAAAACTGCCTGATTGTGATTCCTACTGAAACAGACTGAGAGCCCATTTCATGGCTAAGGAATCTTTAGCAGGTGTTTTTGGATAATAAGCTGATTTGAGCAGTTTTCACAGCTGTTTTTGGAGATGCACAAGTACGTACCACTTTGAAACTCTTGCCATGGCCATGCTGTATCTTCAGACAGTATGGTTTCTATGCACAGGCACTCATTGCTTGGAACCATTTTGTTATACTCGTCGACCACTGACGTCAGGATTCTTTTCTCCTCTCTGATTTTGTGGCGACCCCTGGCCCGGCCTTTACTGCCATCTGTGTCTTTGTACAGACGTTGTGAACGCCTTTTGATGCTTGCCACAAGCCCCTCAATCTTACTTCCAAGATTAACTGCAGCTTCATCAGTCTTGTTGGATGTCTCTGTAGAAAAAGCATGGAAGTTGGTAACTGCACACTGACATACCTATGTATGTAAAAAATATATAGTACACCATGCATTATAATTATTAGGTAATTATAATATTATCATATCTACCTTCTGCCCACTCCTTCACATCAGTTACCCACTCCTCCAACTGCTTGTCAGTTACACCCCACTCGGATTTTTGGGACTCCAGTGTTTCAAGCTGACTCTCGAGAGTACTTGTGGTCTACAAGTAAAAACTGATATTGAATTTAACATACATAAACTATTCATAGAGGACAAATTGATGCCATTATTACTTTCAAATATCTGTGAGACAGGAAGACAGCCAAATTGGAGGTCTTTTGCTGATTCCAGCGCATGGCCATTAATGTCAGCATGTCTGAACGTCCTGCAACAGAAGGGAGGCTGCAATCATTTTCAATACAATGCAGTATACAATACACAGTTTTGTGTAGACCAAATAAACCCGACAGATTAGAATTTGCCTTACAAATTATTTTGAAAAAGACAGCCCAGTTTTGAAATTGCCTTCTATGTATTTGTATGCACCAGTCTTTAAGAATGTTGGAGAGAAGTATGAAGAAGGTTTGGAAAAGCCCTGGATCTAAAGCACAACATACATGTGAAACATGATGGAGGCAGTGATTACATGGGCATGCGTTGCCTCCAGTGGTACTGGAAGACCTGTTGCAACCCGAACAGGCCTAGGAAACCCTGATGGGATGAACACAGCAAATAGATTGGGAGGGAAAAAACCAGAAGGCTCAAAACAATAATAAACCTTTTTGTAATAAAAAAGTTTATTACAAAAAGTGTCCCAACCAAGATTAAAAACTCTCTAGTTGGGAGAAGACTTACCTAAGGTAAACAATGAAAAATAGAATAAAATAAAAACTAAGCAACTCAAAAAATATTCATAACTACTCTGAATTAAATTAAACTATCTTACCCAGGGTCAGTAGTTCATAAGGGAGAGACTAAATAGAGTCTAAACCAAACATTTGCAACTCAAATCCTCAAAAAAGGCTTAAGACTGAGATAAGTAACAACATGATTTAGGATCATTAACACTGAGTCAATCTCCAACTGCAGCAATATCCCAATCCAAGTTTATCTCAGGGCCTTATGTCTTAGTGTGCAGCAAACTCTTGCTATCTGGTTCAGGTAACTCTTCTTGTTTACCTCTCAAAATCTTCCTTAGAGCTCTCTTGCTACATTTCTAGCCCCTCTGCTTTATCTCTATGCCTGTTTCTCCTCATCTGGCTACAAAAAAACCTGTCCTGAATAGGCTGCGGCTGAAGGGAGTTCAGGGAATGTCGCTCTTCATGGTGCTGAATGGAAGAACCCTAGCAGGTACGGTGTAGTGGAGTTGTCAGACTGGTGGTAAAACCAGGGGCCGTAGCAAGCAGTAGAGTATTTTGGTCATTTAACAAAATACACACATTAAGTGAACATGTAAATGTAAATGTAGGTTCGGGAGCAGGACCACGACTCAACTACATCTCATAAACACCTCTACTTCAAGGTTTACCACATCTCAGCCACATTTGCTATCTTCACAAACATCTCCAGCTGTTTGTCTGTGTTCTCTCAACCACCCTCCCTTCAGGGTTATGTTTTTGTCTTCCAGTCTCCAGCTGCTCTCAAGTAGACTGTAGTAGGGGGGTCTCCAGTCAGCCGGCTATGCTATTCAGATACGGAACCCCCATCCTGAGTCTGCTCATAGCCATCACCTTCCACACCTTCATCCATCACTGTGTGTTTTTATAAAGAACATTTCAGGCCCTTCATCCGTGGTCCTTGCTAGTGAAATACTATACATTTATACTAGATCTACAGTATCTCACAAAAGTGAGTACACCCCTTACATTTTGGTTAGACAAGGCACACTGGACAGCAAATTTACACAAGTTGTACACCGACTAATTGCATATTGTCATATGTTCTGATATTTCCCATAAACAGTTAAAATGACATATTTACAAAAACGTGAGAGGTGTACTCACTTTTGTGAGATACTGTAAGAATATTAAAAGAGAGATGCACCAACCAGCCTTTTCAGTCCTGATATCGATATTTGGGCTTTTTGGATCAGTTGATACCTGATATCCACCAATACTAATGCAAACATTAAAACATTGTTATATAACACATAATAAACCTCTAACATGATATAACTTGGGACAGAAAATAACTCATAATGTGGAAATAATTTGTCAGTGGCAGTGTAAAAAGTTATGTAGTTCGCCACATTATTGCTCTGCTCATTATTTGGGTAAAATGAAGTAAATAATATAATCCGGTATCAGCCATGTTCACCTCTCCACAAATCCAGCTACAAAGCCTGGATCGGCAACAACATCCAATACAGTACTGGTATCGGTGCATCCCTAATTAGAAATACCATGTTTTCATACCTGCTTTTGACATATGCTTCGTGGTGACTGCAATGCGAGACAGGAAGGCATTGACCTGCTCCACTTCTTCACCCAGAGTTAACCCCGCCCCTTCCTGATATGCTCCACTCCATTTCACCTGTTTCAAAAAGAAACTATGTAGAAACTTTTCACCTCTGACAATGATTTTTACAAACACACAGTATAATCATTTCACTCACTTCACATTGGAAGTTATGGGCTTTGGCATGAAACACAGAGAGGAATGGCTTCATATCAAGAAGAGGCTGTAGCTCTGGGCAGCTTTTGGCCAGCCTCTGGAGGTAAGGCCAATATTTGCAGGTCACATCCATGCAAAAAAACCTGCTGTTGGGCAGCTTTTGTTGCAAGTACAGGGGATACGCAAAAATTTCTCCCCTGTACATATTAAGGGCCCGCAGCAGCACTCCATGCCGGCACACTGCAAGCTCAAGGCCCTCCTCATCAAGTTTGCTGGTAGACCTTAAGGAGGTTTCTCTGGCCGCCTGCCACTGACCACCACATTTACCTTTCCCAGACACCTAAATTTAACAGGATGAAAATATTAGAGCCTACCTCTACGTTACGATATTTTACATTTATACAGTAATTACAGTCCCATCTTACATGTTTTGCCTTGCTTTGAATGTGGTCCACAAATTGTGTAACGTCCTCATCGTCAGCAATAAAGACACCCTCAAAGATGGCCTTTTCCTCACATCTGTAAAAAGCAGAAATGTAAATCTATAATTAACTAAGACCTGTGATTTGTAATGTGTTTGATCTTTATGCTGACATTTTATTGTACCTGGCAGAATTATTAAAACGATAATGTTTGCGGTTTCCATCAACAGAGACCGCAAGCATCTCTGGGCTGCAGGCAGGACAGGCAAAGGGCTCGGATTTGCAGTGGCTGTCAACTTCATATCTCACAGCCTCCCACTCAAAAAAACTTCTCATGAAGCTGTCTGCTGAGATCTTTCCAGTCTATTAAAAACATTTAAGAAAACATAAAAGAACTCTATTTCATACACTGTTGAGATAATTAAAAAAATATATACTCACACGACCAAAGCGAACGGTTCTTAGATCCAGCATTCTTATAAATGCCTGACAAGACAATCCGGGCGCTACCATTTTCATTTCTTCAAATGTGAAGAAAATATCACATGCAAAGATTGTTTCATAGTGCATGGTAGCTGGCCAGAAGTCATTTTTTATCAGGTCTTCAATCAAAGCAGTCCATGTGGCATTGCACATCCCACAGGTCAGCTTTGGGATATTGAGGTCATGACGTCCTTTAAGAAAACATAAATGCAACATGAATTTCACATATTTTCTATTGTCAGATCACAAACACAATAGAAAAATATTTTGATGCACAACAATATACTTGTACCGTTCATAGTGATCACAGCCACAACCTTTCCGGCACTGAGCTTCAAGTACTCAGCTGGACAGCTGCAGATTTTGGAAGGGACTTCTAGAGGTACAACTCGTTCTAGAAAAAATAAGTTCATGTTATATATGTATATACTAACAAACTGTGTGCACAATAACAGCATGTATGCTCAAAAAGAACTCACCACAATGACAAAGAGCTTCATTTATAATAACTTTGGTTGGGGGCAATGGCTCAAAGAATCCTCCTATAGTGGCCTCTCTATTGTGGAATGGATGTTGGCTGTGTGCATTTAAATCACATTCTCCACAGAGGAACGGCCGTGGACGACAATCCCGACACCGGATAGCAGCTGCATTGCTTTGACACTCCTGGCATAAGTTGGGTTCCACCTTCTCCTTTGATATCAGGGTATTGACTAAATAAGGCCTCACAGATCTCCAGTTTTCCAGCTCTTTCATTTTCCTTAAGCCCCAGTTTGCTGATGTCACAGTGGGAACCACTGGGGATACTTCTTCAGTCTCAACATCAGCAAATGAATGCTGGAGGTCCCGCATGAACTCGTCTGATGAAATTAGAGAACAAATGATGTTCACTGTTCAGATAATGTTTAAAATTGATCTGATTTTATACATATACTAATACACAAATCAAACATATGAAATAACACTAGTGGATAAAGAAAGAAAAACATACCACATGTCTCAGGAGCAAAGACAACATCAGGAGCTGAGACAGGAGCTGAGACGGGAGCTGAGACCGTGTCAATCAACAGACTGTGACCAGCTGTTATCAAAATAAAAATACTAATGATACTCATATAATGAAACAAAAATTTTCTGAACATTACCAGCACATTATAGTGATCAATAAAATTATATAGAAGGTTGACAAAAAATTTTGTTTGCAAAGCATTGTTATAAGCCTTTGGATAGGGTTAGGTTGAGTTTAGTTATATTTAACCCTCCCACTGTCTTCATGGGTGACCCCGCCAGGAAAGTTGACCATTGAGTATTGATGGTTTATCATCGGCACGTCGTATTTATCAGCACTGCCTCACCCCTGCCACGTGGACCTCAAGGGATAAACCATCAATCCTGCTCAATGGTCAACTTTCCTGGCGGGGTCACCCATGAAGACAGTGGGAGGGTTAAGGAAAGAACAATGCTCACCCTGAGTGCACTGGTTCCTTAGTGCCCGTGGTCTCCTGTGGATGAGGTTTCCACCACTGTTTCTCTTCTTCCACCTCACTGTTGGCATCGGTGCTGCAATTGGTATTGCAGTTTTCTCATTTTGCAGCTGACTGAGGAAGTCATCGGCGTCTTTTAGGTCCTCAGTGACCTCACCCTCAACGCTCTGCAGTAAATCCTGCAGCTCACTCTCACTCATTGTTAATGAGGAATACCTCTCTCTCTCTCTCTCTCTCTCTCTCTCTCTCTCTCTCTCTCTCTCTCTCTCTCTCTCTCTCTCTCTCTCACACACACACACACACACACACACGAATGCACACAGGCTATATTTCCCACACAGACAGAACAACAATTACAGTAAACAAACTAAACAGTCAGACACAGAAGACGAAACCAAAGGAAAACAAGTGTGACAAACAGAAGACAAATTACGAAAAACAGACGTGGCTCTAAAAAGTGCCTTTGTGTTGATGAAAAGTTGGGGTTCAGATAGATCAAAATGACAGCAGCTGTTGAAAGAGAAAACAAATGTCGGTTGCACATCAAAGTCTGACACGGTAAAATTTTGCATAGCTTAGTTTACATGTTATCTGGATTTTCTTTAAATACCTTTTTCTTAAAATGTGATTGAAAATTATACACGCGTATTTATAAAGTGTACATATAATGATAAGAACGGCATTTCAAAGTGTTTTTGTGTAATCAATCATAACGGATTAGAAAATGTTCTACTTACCGAAAGGAGAGTAAACGGAAAGACCGGAAGACCAGTTTACGCGGGACCTGTCGCATTCTATCACGTGATATAAGCACGTTTGTAAATAATTGTGTATTTAGATTGAAAATGTATTTAGATGAAAAATAATTATATTATATGTAGCGCTATATTACAACAGTCAATAAATAAATTGTTTTGGTTAAAAAAGGAGCCTAAGTCACGCCCATCTACTTCCGGACCATGGGTGCCTGGAAAAACGAAAACAAAAATTGTGAACTACTATTGCAATCACTTTAAAATGTATTACTGTACTGTAACAAATATTTGAGATTTAAAATTTAACAACCGAGTGGGTTACAGAGCTGTCAGAAACAATAAAACTCGTTTCTTGACGTAAAACCAGCTTATTACTACTAAGTGCTTCTTCTCTGCCCGCAGCCGAGCATTGTGGGAAACGCAGTTTGTTATGCTTGCCATACCGCAACAAATAAGTTTATAAACACGGCTTATACTGACAAATAAATGAAAATTGTTGTCTCGAGCAGTTAAATAAACATGCCGGTGTTTTATAACTGTATTGTAAATAAATCGATTCTCATAGATGACGTAGATGACTCGTAGTTACGTTCAGAAGTCCACACAATTTATATAAATGTAAGCATAAGCTGCAGCAAAGTCCGTGTTTAAATGTGGCTCCACAGATGTCAGAAAAATACTCAAAGTTATCCAAATGATGGGGAAATATGCGTGTTCAGTGCAGCGCAAGAGAACATCCAAACTCGTCACTATGTCGCTGCACTGGGATTTGCATTAGAATCAACGGAGACTCCTTTTTGTCACATATATACGAAAAAGGGCACTTTCTGCGTTGGTATCTGACGCAGAAAGTGAGTGACCAAGCGTTTGTTTCCGACGCTTAGGGTGTGAGAACGTGTTGATTTAAAACAACAACATTAGCCACGGTCGTACTCACACCAGATGTTAGCCCAACGTACGTCGTCGTCGTCTTCCTCCGCTTATCCGGGTCCGGGTCGCAGGTGCAGCATCCCAACTAGGGAGCTCCAGACTGTCCTCTCCCCGGCCACCTCCACCAGCTCCTCCGGCAGGACCCCAAGGCGTTCCCGGACCAGATTGGAGATGTAACCTCTCCAACGTGTCCTGGGTCGACCCGGGAGCCTCCTGCCGACAGGACATGCCCGAAACACCTCCCCAGGGAGGCGTCCAGGAGGCATCCTGACCAGATGCCCAAACCATCTCAACTGACTCCTTTCGATCCGGAGAAGCAGCGGTTCTACTCCGAGTCCCTCCCGAATGTCCGAGCTCCTCACCCTATCTCTCAGGCTGAGCCCGGCCACCCTACAGAGGAAACTCATTTCGGCCACTTGTATCCGCCATCTCGTTCTTTCGGTCATTACCCAAAGCTCATGACCATAGGTGAGGATTGGGACGTAGATCGACCGGTAAATCGAGAGCCTGGCTTTCTGGCTCAGCTCCCTCTTCCCCACGACAGATCGGCTCAGCGTCCGCATCACCGCAGACGCCGAACCAATCCGCCTGTCGATCTTCCGATCCCTCCTACCCTCAGTCGTGAACAAGACCCCGAAATACTTAAACTCCTCCACTGGAGGTAGGACCAAGGTAGCCCAACATACAGTACACCATTTCTCTAAACTGAGGCTCTTTAGGACACTTTAAACAGTAAATAAGCTGCTGACCACTGAAAAAACACTCAATGAAAAACTTCAAAAATAAAGGTTTGCATTTTGAAAACGTTTAAATGACGAGTTAGGGTCACGTCTCAATGGTAGTTTGGTATCTTTATGGTGCAAAAACGAGAGGTTTGTGGCAAAAATACCCATCAGTCCATGTTTCTATCCTCCCCTCCACTGTAAACATTAATGAGCAACTTCCTCACGGTGATGAGATGTTAATAGATGTTAATCATGAGCTCAGGTGCAATTAGGCTTTTGTGAAAGAGGTGACCACAACATCATAACAAAGGTAAACAAATGGAACCTAAATATAAAAAGCATCATGGGAGTGTAAGGTTCTCCGACAGCCTGTTCTGAGAGCGAAAACTCGCAATTAAATTTTATCTTCCAACAAAACAACGTGGGAGTAAATGAGGAAGTGAGATTTCAGCTGAACTTAAGTAACTGATTCATTAGAAGACTCCTGAATAGATTTTACGCACCTTAATTGGTCCACAGAGTGAGATCAGGGTCCATCCACCCATCCATTGTCTGAACCCGCTTTGTCCACGTAGGGTCACGGGGGAAGATAAGGGTCATGAAAATGTAAAAAGTGTTTACTTCACCCAAAGAAAAACAAAGATGGAAGAACTGCAAAAGTAGCATTAAATATTCAAAGGAAGTTATCAGCCACAGGCAGAGCTGACAGGGTGGCTGGTTACCGCCATCGGTTTTTGAACTGGGAAGATTTTCAGGTGAAACTTTTTATAAGATATGAAACAAGAGAGATGGGTGAAAAGTATTCTGAACAATCTTATCAAATCATGAACTTTCCTTTTCCATGAATTATTTACTATTGTACTTTTGTGATATACTCCCTTTCTTAATGTTGTCACAACCCAAGAAAGGATAGAAATGTGTCCACAACCCTGGAAGGGGGGGGATGAGGGACCGCCTATTCCCACACACTGAAGATGCACAAGTTCAAAACATCTGCTTGTTTGAACAATTCTTTACGTAAAGCAAAGAATCTCTTGCACAAGTTCTGGGAAGAATGCTAAAAGATGCACGTTTGTGAGGTTAACGCGGGTTAATGAACAACAACGAACACCAGCCAAAGAGCGCTTTTACATCTGTAGCCTGAAACGGACGGTGCTTGTTCTCAGCTGTTATTTAGAAATGAACAGTTTCAGATTTCAGGCTCAGAAGGCGTGTAGTAATTAGAGACTTTAAATCTGCAAGCCTGAGCTTCATTCTCACCCGTTCTTTAAGTCAAGGTTGGCTCTTGCAGAAGAAAAGCTGAAAAACATCTTCCCTGAAATAAACAATTAACAGCCAACGACTAAAGAGAAGCTGTTAATTTCAAGGGTCGGCCTTCGGTTTTGTCCCAACGTTGAGTGTAACGGGAGCGATGCCATCTCCACGCCTCTTAGTGACGTTTCTGGTATTTTATTATTCACAGGATCTCTTTGATCTTGAGATTTCTTCAGCTGGAACCAACATTGAGTCTGTTCTCACATTGCTTCATTGTTAGTGATGCTATTAAACCCTCTGCTGCTCCTCCTTGTTGTTCCCTTTTTTGTGGCTACTATAAAAACAACAAAATTAGACAAAATCTGTATTAAACGAGTAAAGGAAGTTAAATTTTTGGGAGTCATCATTGATGAGAATTTATCTTGGAAACCACATGTAAACAATGTCAAAACTAAAATAGCTAAATCAATCGCAATGTTACACAGAGTGAAATGGTCTCTAGATGACAAATCCCTATATTTATTATACAATTCATTGATTGTACCGTATTTGAACTACTGTGTTGAAATTTGAGGAATAACATATAAAACCTATACACATTCAGTTTTCATCCTACAGAAAAAAGCAATAAGAATTATAACAAGAAGCAATTACAGAGATCCGTCCAATCAATTATTTATCAAATTAAAAAATTTAAATTTTACAACCTAGTAGATTAAAGTATTTTGAAATGTCTACAAAAAGCACCTTCCAACAAATTTTATTTTAAGATTTATGGAAAGAAAGAGTAGTTATGATTTGAAAGGCAACAAAATATACACAATACCAAAACACAGGATAAATATAAAGGAACGATGTGTTTATATATGGAGTCAAAATGTGGAATAAATTAAATACCAAAATCAAGAATACCAAAACAATATTCCAATTCAATTCAGTTCAAAAATACTTTATTAATCCCAGAGGGAAATTTATTGCTGTAGTAGCTCAGAATAATAATAATAATCAAGACATCAAAGAGTTGTTGTATATTACAACGGCTGTTGGCAGGAAGGATCTCCAGTAGCGGTCAGTGTTGCAGCCAAACTGAAGAAGCCTCTGACTGAAGACACTCTTCCGTTGTCGGACAGTCTTGTGAAGAGAACGCTCAGGGTTGTCCATCATGTTCTTGATTCTCTGGAGAATCCTTCTTTGCATTATCTCCTCCAGCGGTTCCGAACCTGCCGAAACTCTGGCTGAGTCCTTGAAAGGGCTTGGAGTTCCTCCATCTTGTTGGCCAGTGATCTCACATTGCCCATTATGATCGATGGAAGAGATGGTTTGAATTTCCTCTTTCTCTGTCTCCGTTTTGCTCCCGCTCTGCTCCCACGCTTCTTGCGTTTTAGCTCATTTGGGACTTGTGGCTTCAGTTGAGGTATTATTTCAGCCTTTCCAATGTTAATTAGCTGCTCCCGATTGTAAACCATTTGTTGCCATGGTTACGCATCATAACACATGCTCAAAAAGTGAAAAAAGCTAAAAAATAGCTGTAAAAATCCTCCAAGCTTCACAGCACCACAAACAGAAAAGTAAAGTGTCCAAAAATACAGTTTTTCTTGATA